ATTTTTCAATGTTTTCTCAAGATTTTCTCAAGCTTAAGGCTTATGTTCATAAGCTTAATGTAATATTATTCTCAAGCCATTTTGGTATGTTGGGTTTGCATTGGATGGATTATTTCCATATCTAGTCAATTTTTTGGAGTTTCCGACTTCAGGATCGATAGTAATTTCTAAATAGAAATCCTGGAAATATGACTTTAATTTAACTATCATAAATAAGGTGCTATCGGTTTATAAAAGATAGGGACCCCATAAATTGTATTAAAAAGTAGAAATCTTTGTCGATTAAATTATGGCATGTTTTTGTTACAATTTCTACCGAATGAACACAAAATTCCATATCCAAATAGAACAGTTAATACAGTTCTGCAATTTTCCTAGAGACTTTCCTCAAAATTTTCTTTCTCGAAAACGTTTTCAGTGTAATTACAAATAACCAAAAGAAAATATGAGTGAAATCGGGCCAGTTACCCTAAACTGAAGTTTTACTATGCTTTTTTAAAAATTTTTACATATAGATCTAAAAAAGTGGGTGTGGGCAGTTCCTCTGACCCACACAGATACCTAGGCTTGAAGTGAGAGTCAAGATTACGTTGTATACTAACTTTGGAGCACATATCTTTATTATTTTGGGAAATAGGATTTTAGGTAAATCGAAAAATGGACGTAAAATTGGGCGTTGTCACTTTTTTCTTTGCATAAAAACCTATCTCGTGGTAGGACGGACATAAAAAAAAGATATCCCAATCCTTCCAGCCGTTCTCAACTGATTCAATTACCATTCATTGGTTATTATATATATAGATTAGAAGTATGCGTGGTCAGTTCCTCAGCCCCCAAATAAATCCCTAGGGTTGGAGGGAACGTCAACAGTATCTCGAGTAATAATTTTCAAATCGATATCTTCATTATTTTGGCAAATATAAAGATTTTAGATAAATCAAAATAGTGAGCGTAAAAGTAGGCGTGGTCAACATTTTTTTCTTTAAAAACCTAACTCAGGGTATGACGAACGTTTGTACGGTGCAAATGTACAAATATACAAAATGTATAAATATATATATACAGATTTTTGCCACATTTCTTCACGGATTTGTCTGAAAATTGGTGTTTGTAGGTCATAATGGGTTCTAGCTCCTTTGGCGAAACATTGCATGTGTAGTTCCACGATTTGGTATAGCCCCCATATAACGATACCTCCCGATATTCGGCATTTTAATGGTTTTTGCCACATTTCTTCTAATGTTTCCTTCACCCTAAGGTGGAGGGTATTAAAAGTTTGGCCCGGCCGAAATGTTTTTTTAATTGTTAAAGCATAATAATTCACAAATGTGGCTCACATAAGTGATAAAATTTTTAGTATAAATGATGACTCGATTAAATAGAAATAAATACGTGTTTTAAAAAAAACTGATCCTATTTTTCAGTAAGAGGTTTTAATTTTAGAGTTAAAAATTTAAATAATATAGCATATATATTAAAAAGTATACATTAACTGTTTATAATAGGCCCTGATAGGTAAAATCAGGAGGTACTTTTATATGAGCCCTACTCCGAAACATTGACATTGAAAAATTTCCGCGAATTGGTCTTTTACAAGAGGCTAGATGGCAAATAAGGGCAAAATCAATTGAAAAATGTGACCAAGACCCTTGTAATAGCTAAAATCACCGGATACCTTCACATAAGAGTTATAATGAAGCATGGTCCTATACTTATAATTATTTGAAAGAATTTGTTTTTCTTTCTAAAATCTTTTACCAACATTTGAGGAATTTGAAAGGGGCTATATCAGAATGTAGACCAACCTGATACATATACATATACAAATGATTCCTCATGTTACCCCTAGGACTGTATCACATTTAAAACATTATCGTAACATTTGCGGAGTATAGGGCAAAATATTTGCGGCCCTTTGTGTATGGTTAAGCTATATAAAATGGACTTTAAAAAAGTTCTTTTGGGATTTTTATTTACCAACCGAAAAATTTCCTAACCCCAAGATTGTCTGCGGAGCAGTGTAATTACTGACGATAGCGCATAGTGCCCGTATAACGTTATCTATAAATTTTGCATTTTGAGTTCTCATTGGATGGAGTATTTCCATATCTAATCAAAATTCAAAATTTTGGTATGGCAACCATATAACAGCATGTATAGGAAATATGCAAACTTTCTCGGTTTTTTTCAATAAGATTTTTCAATTCCAAAAGGAATTCTGAAACAATTCTACACAAAATTCCATATCATAATAGAACAGTCATTTTTTTCAGTTCCGCGATTTTTCTCAAAATTTCCTTTCATAACAACGTTTCCACTGTAATTACAAATAACCAAAAGAAAATTTGAGTCAAATCGGCCCAGTTCTCAACTGATGTGTTACTATACTTTTTCAAATTTTTTACATATAAATTTAAAGAAGTAGGTGTGGCCAGTTCCTCTGACCCCAAACAAATACCTAGGGTGGGGGGAGAGTCAAGATAACTGTGGAACAGATATCTTCATGATTTTGGCAAATATTTGGATTTTAGATAAATCGAAAAAATGGGCTTAATTTGGGCGTGAAAATTTTCAATGTCAATGTTTCGGAGAAACGCCCACCTCCTGATTTTACATATTTCGAGGGTTTTGATTATATTTTTGAATCGTTTTGGGTTAAGATGTGTGTTTAGGCTAATATGAACAGTTGATAATATAAACAGTTGATGTATCCTTTTTTAAATATTTGACTTATTATTTAGGTTTTTTACTCTTATGTGAGCCAGATCTGTGAGTTATTATACTTTAAAAACAATGCATTAAAGACCAAAACTACGGGCCGGCAACGCGGACCGGGCCAGCTAGTAGGAAGATAAAAAACAAACAACTTATATCATGAAGCAAAATAAAAAAAATAAAATAAATGTTTATTTTTGACCTTGAGTTTAATTTTGATCATATTTGCTCGCCACATAGGATCACCTAATACAAGAAGAGAAGGCAGAACCGCAAGTGAGGACAAATTTCCTGAAATTGGATCAAGCAAGATCGCTAAAATTTTCAGGGACAGTAAGCTACTCGCAATTTCAATATATCAAATTTTGGTCGACTACAAATTTCTTTTGTATTTTCTCTGAAAAGAGAATTTAGAGACCAGGTCGTACCAGAGATTATATGAGTTCACCACCTACAATTCCAGTAGAAGTGGAGAACGAGATACATTTAAATAGAGATACTGACTTGCGACTGTGAATGAATTCGAGCGACGAAAATTTGTAGCCAAAAGTGACAAGCGGGATGGTGCCCCACAGATTCAGTTTGATTTTTTGACAAATGAAGACGATGATAGGATCACAATTTTCCATGGGAATATTACATAAAAAACTGGGAGTGCGAAAACAGACAAGTAACCCTATGTTATCATATTCGTCGAAACTGCGGGTGGTCAAATAAATATCAAGGCGTATTAACAAGCGCTATTAGTAACAAAGTCTCTAAAAATCACACAAACTCAGATTATGTATATACACTGTATATTTATTTTCCATACCAAAGCTCAGAAACTTGAAAAAATAATTAAATTAGTAAATAATTTAAAAAAGAATTCACCAAAATTTTTATATTTTGCCTACAATATTACAACCAATAAAATTTAAGGTACCAACCTAGCTGAATATCTTAAAGAACGAAAAATTATTTAACATGGAGTAAAATATGTCGATTTTATTACTTATCATTATCAAATATCATTGATATTTATGTTGGTATCTATTATAGAGAGTAAATTTTCCCTATTATATAGAGTTTTTCGGAACGATACTGATACTTTTTAATAATATTTTTGTGGTATTTATAATATTACGAGCTGACCGGACCGCGTTGCTGGCCCATATCGATAGTAATTTCTAAATTGAAGTAAACTCTTACTACAAAAATGTCAATGTAGATTCAAGTAACGGTTTTTAAGTGTTTCAAGTGTCCTGGCTACATGGCTTTAATTTAACTATCAAAAATAAGTTGTCATCGGTTTATAAAAGTTGAGGAACCAGTACATCTTTATATTCATTACTTCGTAGTATTTAATTACATTTTGAAACCTAAATTATTAGTGTTATATAGATCTTAGCAACATTTTCCAAATCAAAAGTAATTTTGAGTTCGTAACATTTAGAAGGCCATCTTATAAAGTATATTGTTTTGTCCTCCTCATGGTATGTATTCTTGATCAGGATAATATTATATTTTATGTGTGCGGCCGTCCGCAATCGCAATTAAGGCGCAATATGAAGGTTAATCTTTGAACCTTTATACAATATTTCTTGGATGATTGGATCCTCCTTCTGCATGTTTTTGTTACATTTCTACCGAATGAACTGTGATTTGACATTTAAAGTTTTCAGTGTTATTAAATCTATACCGACAATAACTGTTGGTCCCTCATTTGGCATAGCCGCAATGAAAAAATTTTAATGGCATTTTGTAACAATTCTACACAGAATTCTATATCAAAAAACAATTATCGATTTATTCAGTTTCGCGACTTTTCTATGAGCTTTTCTTTCTTTGGTAGAAATTTCCACTGTCCAATAATCCAATAACAAATAACCGAAAGAAAATTTGATTCAAATCGGGCCAGTTGTTTCTGTTTGGTTGTGCGGGAGAGTAAGTTTGAAATTATTCGCTTTTTAAAATGTATATAGGAAATATATAATTCAGTATATCTCAACACATAAAGTTGCCATAAAATGTATAATTATTAGATGACACCAATAACATTTTAATATTTAATTTATGGTCTTCTGTTTACTCTATTAATATATAATTATTATAATTGATTAATATTGATATATAAAAATTGCTTGGCAAGAAAATTTCAATACATACACACTGAAATGTAGCAATGCCTGTTATTTCAAATTTGTTAATAGAAGAAAGTTAATTTGTTCTAAACTTCTTACAACGTTATATAATATTAAAAATGTCTTGCTACTTTTAAATATCAATGTATCTTATATTTCTAGATGCTATTATGAGACCGGATCCTCGAAGAGACACTTTAACCGTAAATGAGGAATTGGTTGTCAATTCACAAGTTCAAGATAGCATTCCAAAACCAAATCTACCGTTCGGTAGTAATTCAAGACTGAGTCCAGCGTATTATAGTGAGAACGAAGACTATACATCAAATTCAGGTAGGTATAAACGCAAATTAACAACAATTGAATTGAGTTATAAATTTAGTTAGAACTGACTGCTCTTACCACAATTTAAGTCGATGATACTTCTATTGTTTCAATTTATAAATGAACTATATAGATAGATATTGAAAAACTTGGCAATTTCTTAGGAAAAACTTTTTCTTCATTGTTAAACAGCTTAAATAGAATGTTACCGCAATAGTGAGCCATTAAGTGGGTGACACATATTTGTATACCCTCTACCATTCTATTAGCTATATCATTCCTTTTATAACTCCTCGAAATACTCATGATAGGCCTTAGAAAGTATAAATATTCTGGATCAGCGTGAAATTCTAAGTCGATTTAACGGTGTCCGTCTGTCTGTTATAATTCGAACGAATTGAACTTGAAAATTTTGCACACGTGTGTATTTTGCCAGTAGGCAGTTTAAGTTCGTAAATGGTTCACGTTTCGTATAGCCCCCGTATAACAGTACCCCCGATCTTCAGTATTTTCATGATTTTACCGACATTATTCACCGGAATTGTTAAAAATTTCGTATTCAAGGTTTGTCTACAGCCTTTGAAGAAAGATTGCGCATGCAGGTCCACGTCTTCGTATAGCCCCCATATAACGGTTTTCATTTAAGCGGAATTTTTTCGGAATTTTTTGAAAATTTTCAGGTTTCTCCCAAATGATAGGGGGTATTAAATGTTAGGCCCGGCCGAACTTAGCTGCCTTTTTAAGGAGGTTAAATTGATTGTTTCCTGGGCGATAAATGTTTGGCGATTCTAAAATCCATTGTTTAAAGAAAACGTTGGCGGAGTGCGCAATCAAATAACTTTCATAAATGTTTGACTTAAGAGCTTTATAGGATTGTTTTTAGTAGTTTGTCCCAAAAGCCTTAACATGTGTAGAATTTTAACGTGATCCGAAAAAATAATTGTCAATAAAAGTTAGTTTCATTGAAATAGGGCGAGAAAGTCTTTTGTTTTAACGACGCATCTAATTGAAATTATATCACAATATATTTATTCTATCAAACACATTATTGTCCTACATAATCATCTGACTTCATTCGTTATGGTGTTTTGAACCTACATTAAGTGTGTGCCATGAAGGCAAAAGTAGCAGTTATTAGCAAATATTTTTAAATGTCAATTGCAATGGCAAATATATTTTTGTCAATTTTGGCCCAAGACATTCTCTGTTTATTATAAAACTTGATTATGCTTCTTCCTTGGCGAATTCCTATAAATTGCAAGGTCCATGGCAGTTTGTTTTTGCATAACAACATTTTAAGCCAACAACAAGATAATTGTCAAGTGGCGTGTTTGATATAAACTACATTAAACTACAAATTATTAAAATATTTTTATATCCCACACACCACTTGAAAGATGCTAATAGTAAATTGGTTTATTAATACAAGGTTGTACTTCTATTGGTGTTCACATTCTTTTTTAAACGTATATGCAAATGTTAATGGTCAATAATTAATAATTATTTTGCTATTTTTCCTTAAAGTGCCTTTCAGATGTATAACAAAATGTAAGTATAATATAGTTTTAGTAGTGTTAGATCTTCTTTAGGGTGATTGTTTGAAAGTGAAGGAACGTTTTTCAGAAAGCACATACACTTCAGAACAATGCATGAAATATTTATTTATATTAATAGTACGGTTCATTTCAATTAATGTTTGTAGACTATTTCATGTAAATATTGACCGCGACTGCGCTTCAAATGGTCAATCCATTAGTTCTATTATGGTATACTCTTTCTAACATTTCGGTCGGTATCTCACCAATAAATGCGTCAATGCCACCAGCCCGTAAACCGCATCAAATTGTAACTTTTGCTGGAAGCATTGTTAGCTGTTGCAATGCTTACATACCCGTTGTTCATTTGTAAGACGATTCATTGTTAATTTATAGACCAAACTGAAAGTTTGACATTAAAATGAAACACAAACGTGCGTGAGCTGTTAAACATGTGTTGCCAAAAAATTATAAATTAAAAATCACCCTTTATAATTTCATCATACTTGCATGAAAGTTACTATTTATTATTTGTGATAGAATGATATTTATTCACATGATTCGTACTTATTTATTTTTTGTTATTATTCAAGCTTTGTGCTTTTTAATATTTTGAAATAATGAGAGTTTTATTTTAGGTAAATTGTACGTGCGTCATCCAGATTCGTACTTGCCACCGTTAAACAATCTCAGTGAAACAGACGGAGAAACAAATCCACAGTGCTATAATTTCAAATGTCAAGCAGATGTCGAGGACGAGAAGCGGAAGTTAAGCGGTAAGTTTAAAATGAGTGAATATCTTTCTTTGTTTATAATAATTTATCGTATTCTAAATAATGAGTTCTAAAAACTAGAACTAGAACAAGAAAATTCGGCTTGTTGCGTGGAAATATTATACTCCTTCACTTTTCTCCATACAGGATGATAATAACGAGTTAAGGTACGGTCATGCTGGGCAAATATTTGATCCAAATTTGTTTTCCCATATTTACCTGAACAAATGTGAAATTCATACAGAGTTGATTTAGTTTTCTCGAACAGTCACCAAACAGTGTCAAATACTGCTATGGTAAAACATGTTTGACATGTGTTCACATTCGTAAAATATATTTTCCCCGTGAAACTGTAGAGAAACGTTTATTTTTGAGAGAAATAGAGAGTTAAAGAGAGACATAAAGAAAATTAAGTTTCGAATACAATTTATTTTGTAGAAGGGACAGAAAAGACCAGCTGTTGAGGAAGAAGTGTCTTGTCATATTTTTATTTTTGTTTTGGAATTTTCGTATGTTTGTATGTACATGTAAAATAGAGTAGTGTATAATTCTGTTTGTGTGCATATTCTTTTCAATTATATTTAAATTGTTTACTACATATCCAAAAAATGTATATATATATATATATATATATATATATATATATATATATAAAAGAAAGTTGTGTTAGTTACTACGCTTATAACTTAAGAACCGCTGGACTAATTTTAACGATTCATACAAATTCGGAATTGTCTCCTCTCCGAAAAGGATAATATCCAAAAAATCGCGTAAAAATGTGTTATATTAACATTTTCATTTTGACTTTTGAAATGTACAATAGTAATGTTTTATTTTGCATAATGTTTTTCCATTTTGACTTACTTTTTTCTAATGTACATTTGTAGTGTTTTTTTTACTTTTTTATTTTTTTTTTTGAATTCAAATATTAATACCAATTTATTTAATTGACTTGATTTCTTGAGAAATGAAATTGATGTCGAGTTACATGGAAGTGTAGTACCGAATTATGTGGTGGCGAAACGGAATAGATGATGTCGAAATAATTTAATGGAATCGAATTTTAAAATAGAAGTACATTCTATTGACAAACTATATAAGGATCTTTAAACATTTTCTGTAAAAAATCAGCGAACAAGTTGAAGATTTTTTCAATGTGTTATTCTTCTTTTGTCAATTTTTTTTTCAATTTGTATTATCTAATTGAATTCAGTAAATTTTTTGTGAACAAAATAAAGAATAATTTTTCACTATATACAAATTTTCACCAAAAAATTAAATAAGTGGGAAATACGATGTTAACTGACATCTACCTTTCAACTCCAGGGCCGACATCGTGGTTCAGCTGGAAGATGCGAACACATTTGAACAAACGAAAATTACCGAAAAACCCTAATGGGGCTCATTTCAAAGCGTGGAACTACTTCTTTCCTGTCTCAATAATCCGTCCAATGTACAATCAGAAAAATACCAAATATAAAGGGTGGAAAATAGTAGAGCGAATGGGACTCTTAGTAAGAAAAGAATTTCTATCCTTCCAGAAATTCTTCCCAAACATTCGAGATACCTTTAATCGCTTTTGCAGGTCATGATATCGATCATAACTCACGGATAAGGGTACAACCCGATTTCATATTTATATAACCATCGTATGATTTAAGTTTTTTTGGTGTCTTGGTCACTTTTTTAATATTTTGGATATTATTTGGCATATTTGTTTCTAAGGAGGTAGAAAACCTCTTCGCATAAAGTTTGAAATTTTCAGAGTAGGGCCCATTTTGGTTTTGACCATATTCATTAATTGATTTGGCTAAAAATTGTATTTATGCTACCCTGGGGTAGGGAACCATCATACAGATAATTGCCACACAGGAATTTATTTAAGTAAAGTCCCTACATTGGAGTATCTCCAAGTCCACTTTCACATCTAATTGGTGGTCAGAAAAGAAAATTTTGTTTTTTATTGAATTTGTAACCCCCAAGAGAATATTGGTTGGGCCACGTTTTGTTATAACCCTTATATAAATGTATCCCTGATTTCAGCTGTGACCGTGGTCTTGGTCACGTTTTTCAACTGATTTGGCCATTATTTGCTGTATTTAGGCTACTTTGTGAGTAGAGAACCGTCTTACAGAAAAATGTCAACATACGTACATATTTTGGTACAGTCCCCATATAGTCCCCAGGCCCGCCGATCTATAGTGATGTTTACCGATTGGCGGACAACAACGCGGGTATTGTTTAATCGTCATTGAATTTTACTATGAACAAGAACATAGACTTTTTGGGGACTCTAATGCGCAATTTGAGGTGCTATGGTAATGGGTGTAAAAGCGTAATTAACTTTGACTATTCAGAAATTATTTTGATTAGTCGAATCAATATTTATATTAAAATTTGTTCACCTTTATGAGCTAGATTTGTGAAATATTATGCTATGCTAAATTTGCATTAAAGACTAAAACTACGGGCCGGCAACGCGGACAAATCCGAGGAGAAATGTGACAAAAATCGTCAAAATAACGAATTTCGAGAGGTACCGTTATATGGGGACTATACCAAAACGTGGACCATTTTCAATACCAACCATCCTATACACAGTACAAATTGTTCTGTTAAATATATATATAAATATATATATATATATATATATATATATATATATATATATATATATATATATATATATATATATATATATATATATATATATATATATATATATATATATATATATATATATATATATATATATATAAATAAATACATAGGGCTGGATGGAAAGTCAACATTATCTCGTGTAATAATTTTCAATCCGATATCTTTATTATTTGGCACATATAAAGATTTTATATAAATCGAAATAGGGTCGTAAATATAGGCGTGGTCAATATTTTTTTCTTTAAAAACCTAGCTCGGGGTATGACGAACGTTTGTACAAAAAAATATGCAAATCGGTCCAGCCGTTCTCAACTGATTCCATTAAGATTTTGAGTGTTTTGATACTCAAAAATTTCGCGATTTGTTCGGAATTTTTTAATAAGAATTTTCGATTGTAATTCTACACAAAATTCTGTATCAAAAAAAACTTTATTATTCAGTTTTTCGACTTTTCTAGGGGCTTTTCCCAATTTTTTTTTTCGTAAACAATTTGCACTGTCCAATAATCCAATAACAAATAACCGAAAAATTTGAGTCAAATCGGAGCCGTTGTTAGTAGATTTGTAACTATACTTTTTATACTATCTTTATACATATAGATTTAAAGAAATAGGCGTGGAGAGTTTCTCTGACTGTATACTAACTTTCGAACAGATATCTTCATTATTTTGGAAAATATAAGGCTTTTAAGTAAATCGAAAAAATATTATATTGACAAACTTTGTAAGGATCTTTAAACAGTTGCTGTAAAAAATCAGCGAACACGTTGAAGATTTTTTCAATATGTTATCCTTCTTTTGTTATTTTTTTTCAATTTGTATTATCATATTGAATTCAGTCAATTTTTTGTGAACAAAATAAAGAATAATTTTTCACTATATACATTTTTTCACCAATTTCAATTACAATCGAAAAAATATTGCATTGACAAACTTTGTAAGGATCTTTAAACAGTTGCTGTAAAAAGTCAGCGAACACGTTGAAGATTTTTTCAATATATGTTATATATTTTTTCACCAAAAAAATTGAAATAAATAGGATGTCAACTGACACCTACCTTTTGACTCCAGGACCTACATTTTAGTTCAGCTGGAAGATGCGAACACATTTAAACAAACTAAAATTATCCAAAAAGCCTAATGGGGCTCATTTCAAAGCGTGGAACTACTTCTTTCATTTGACAATAATCCGTCCAATGAGAGCTCAAAATTCAAAATTTTTTGGGAGTACAATCAGTAAAATACCAAATATCGATAGATCGAATGGGACTTTTAGTAAGGAAAGGATTTCTATCCTTCCAGAAATTCTTCCCAAACATTCTAGATACCTTAAATCGCTTTTGCAGGTCATAATATCGATTATCACTCACGGATAATGGTACAACCCGATTTCATATTTATATAACCATCGTATGATTTAAGCTATTTTTGGTGTCTTCGCCACTATTTCCATTTTTTGGCCCTTATTTGGCATTTTTGTTTCTAAGGGGGTAGAGAACCTCTTCGCATAAAATTTTCGGAGTAGGGCCCATATTGGTCTTGACCACACGCATCTATTGATTTGGTTAAAAAATTGTATTTATGCTACCCTGCGGTAGGGAACCATCATACAGATAATTGCCACATAGGAATTTATTTAAGTAAAGTCCCCACATTGGAGTATCCCCAAGTCCACTTTCACATCTAATGTGTGGTCAGAAAAGAAAATTTTGTATTCTATTGAATTTGTAACCCCCAAGAGAATATTGATTGGAAACGTAGATTTGGGATGTACATCTATATGAAATAAATTGTGAAAACATGAACAAATTACAAATATTAGAAAGTAGCACGGGACCGAATATTTGTTGAATCGTCATTGAATTATACTATGATGAAAAATATGGACTTTATGGGGTCTCCAACTTACAATTGAAATGACAAATAAAATTTATTCCCATCTTAAGGTAATGGGTGTAAAATAGTTATTATATTTGACTATTCTGAAATCAGTCTGCCTTCAATTATGAGGTGGATAAAACTATTTTTACTTATTTAAATCACGTGATTTTTTTCAGTTTGACATGCTATGTTGTTCTGCTATAGTTTTGATTTGGCCTCTATTTGTCATCTTGGATTATAAGGGGTGAAGAAAGTTTTCAATGTAGGTCGATGTTTCGCAGTACTGCCCATAAAGATGTGGCTAATAATGTGTATTTGGGGGGTGAAAATCTTACACAAAAATTTCAACATATCTACAAATTTTAGAATTTTCTCCATGTAATAGTACCCCCTCACGTCCGCCTTGTGGCGGACAAACAGACCGACATGGTTAGGGGTACTTATGAGGACTCTAATGCACAA